TAAAAAATTCCTACAAAACCCAGCGTTTCTCTCTGTGTTCTCCTCATGGATGTTTTTATTGAAAAAGTGGATCAATAGATCCAGCTCCTCCTGAGGACACTCACARAGCACAGGACTACAGGGGGAACATCCCATCATTTATTCCACACCATTCCTATTTGATTCCCATTACTCTGTTCCACTCTGGAACAGAATGGAAGGAAATTTCTTCCCTGTTCACGGCCGCATTCTCCATGGGGAATATTTCATTCCACCAAGGAAAAGTTTCAGCGCATTCCCTGTCTTGGGAAAGCGAAAGGAGAGTGACAGAATTTTGGACAGATTGTAAATCTGAGTCACTGCAAGAAGAGACCTGGGCAGAGAGCGGCCAGTGGGGATCGTGGCAGTGTGAGGACAGGAGCAAAACAGGACAAACCACGCTATTTAACACATCCCATCCAAAAATACCCATTTTTAGGTATGGAAAAAAAAAAAATTACCAACCTGTTTCGTAGGCTAGAGGAGCAATCAGGTCTGAAATTTTAGACCAATCTTGGTAGAGCAGGGCGAAATCCTATGTCAATGGAGAATGCATCCCCGTCCTCCCGTGCCAATTATTGCTGATGACTGAAACGATGGCTCAGTCCTTTGCTCTCCCGATTGAAAACTCTCTTTTCCTCAAYGCTCTTCCAGGGCTGGAGCAGTGTTGAGTTGCAATCCCAACTGTTGTCCTGCTATTGATAACCAGCAGGCTAATCTGGAGATCAGATTCTGGCCTGGAGAGGGAGAGGAGCCTCTTTCTTCCCCCAAAGCTCACCCCCTTCAGGTGGATTCAGATGGAAATGCCAGCGAGCTGGAGCCGGGCTCGCGGCTCTGCTGCTCAGGGAAAAGAAAACCCAACCCTCAGAAGAATTGAGCCCCTTCCTCCTTTGTGTAAAGGGGAAAAAAAAAAAAAAAACAACCCAACCCATCTATATAAAGTTACAGGATTAGCATTAAACAGTGCTAGGCTTAAAGCGCCGTTCAAAGGCGCTGCCCTGAAGTTTCAATGGAGCTGCTTTGCCATCCAAGTCTTGCTTTTACAGGTGGAAAAGGCAAAACTCACCTAAGTCCAGCTCACTCCCAATCTGCTGGAGAGGRTTTCCTTGCTGTTCCCATTTCCACCTTCTCTGGAAGGACTGGTGGTGGTGGGAAGTTTCACTGGGGGACTGATGTGAGCGTTATTATCATTTTCACTCGTACAATTGCAGTTTCCACAGGGATTTTCCCTGCCTCTGGCATCTGGGCTGACAGATACATCACTAACTTGAAGGGTAAAAGTGTGGCCTGACCAAAACCCTTCATTTGAGCCCARTCTGTACCCGAAAAAATATTTCAGCTGCTGTGAGTCGGTTCATATCCCTGTTGGAGAAGAGAGGGAGAGTGGGAATAGCAGCCAAGGAGTGAAGGCTCCAGCAGCAGAGCCACGTTAGAGCTGATTTTCCCAGCCTGCAGCAAGGCTCAGGTCAGACAGGCACTGCTCCAACGCCAGCAGTGGGAAAACAGCCTGACTTTGGCATGATTTACCCTTCTGACATTTTGGGTGGGAGGTTTTACTGCCCGTTTTCCCTGCTGGGAGGTCGCCATTCCTCTTGTGCTCCCCACCCTGTGTCAGGAACAGAGAGGAGACAGAAATGCCAGCAGCCCAACAGGAAGCCCAGACTTTCTCCCCTGGGTGCTCCTGGCAGTGTTATTCAGTAAATTTCCCCCAAAAAATGCTGTTTCTTACCTCAGCAGTCTCTTTATGCACATCAGGGCACCAGGCAGCTCACTGCCTCCACAGCTGATCCCAGAATCTGCTTTCCCTCCATCCTCCAAGCATGGCCTTGCTAGCAGGAATCTTTCATTTTCAAATTTATTTTTACCCTCTTCTAAACCAACAGCTATTTCGGGAGGGCAGGGGGATATCAGCACTGACTGATATTCCAGGGGCAGATTACTTCCAGCCTGCACCCTGGTTCTTCCCTCCCCTCCCATACATTTTAAACACTACCAGCTCCAGGAAAATCAATTGACTCGCCTCATTCTGTTTTGTAACACAGAAAAAACTGGGGAAAATAGGTTTCCCTCTGCTCCTTTGTCAGTTTAATATTCTGGTCCTGTTTGTCCTGGGCAAGTGTACACTGATGAAGTTTGATTAGGTTTCACTGTCTCTTTGGGGAAGACTTTGTCTTCCAACCTATTTTCTTTTGGCAGGGGATGTTCCCATCATGCAGTGCTGAACACATCGGAGCTGAACAACCAAACACTTCTTCTTTTTTTAATTCTTCTGGCAGAAATCTTCCTCTCATGCCTGACCTGAAGGAAAAACAAGCATTCAAAGATGCCACAAGGGCTTCTGTGGCTGCTTGACCTTGGCACGGCAGCCACAGGCAGTGCCTTGTCTCGTTCCCATCTCGAGGGAGCTGGCACAGCCCATGGAAGGTGCCCTGGCAATGGATTTACCCAGGAGCTGTTTCCCATCCAGAGGGGCATCTCGCTCTCCCTGCCTCTCCCCGGGGTATTTCAGTACAGGCCACGAGGGTGAAATTTGTTTAACCCCAAGGCCAGTCCCACTGAGGACACGGAGCAGGTGAGAGAGAGCGAGCTCGAGATTTATTCCTCACCTGGGAGTGGGGATGAGCCCCAGTCATGGAGAAATGCAGTGCAGAAGAGGAGGAAGAGCTCATCCAGCTCTGTGACTTCTCCCTTCGACGGGTGGCACCTTGCACAGGTGAGGTGGCTGTGCCTGAGCTCATGGGACAGACACCACAACCATCAGCAGGACAAAAACATCCCAGCACTTTTCACCCGCACCTTTGGGGTCACAAAGGGACATGTTTTGCTTTGGGGGACACAGAAGTGCAAAGTTCAGGACACTGGGGTGTTTTTTTTTGTGCAAAAACTTACATAAGTTTATTGAACTGATCCAAACCAATGACCTATTTTGGCCTGAATTCCACCGCTAAGTCTGCGAGCAAACCAAAGGCAAATTGTGGGAGCGGGAGGTGTATCCCCTGTGAGAGAAACCAGAATAAAAAACCAGATGGACTTACAGTYGTTCTTCTTTGAAATTACATATGGATGTAACATTAATAGGGAGCAAGGATAGATCTTCATGTTTAAATTATATTTGATGTTTCCAGTAACTGCAGAAAAGCAATCACAGAGGCAAAGGCCCGAGATGGCTGAAGCCCCTCTAACGTTGCTCTGGGGAAGGCGTCTCTCTGCTGCCTACAAAAGTGCCACATCCAAACGAGGGAGGCACAGCTGCCTGGAATACATATTTTAGCCTCTGGGCTGCTTCCAGCACCTCGTTTGCATTCTCAAATCTTGCACACCAACAGAACCTMCAGAATCGCACTGACGAGCGAGGAGGCAGAGCCGCCGCGGCGCCTCYGTCAGATTCCAGACCCGAGGAGGCACAGGGACAGCCTCTCCCCAGCAGCAGCTCCTCCGAGCCACCATGGGTCACACCTGCAGCTGCCAAAAAACGGCCTTCCAAACCCAGGCAGGGAGCAGAGGACAGCCAGCACCCCGTGCAYATTCACAACCCCGCCCGCTACGCGATCCGCCCCAAACATCTGGCCAAAAAACGTGGATATTCAACAGGAACGTATCCAAAAACACAAGAGCACAGCGTCTAACTGAGCACACGGAGCCGTGTGACACTTTGGTATGTAGCTGTCACCGAAGTCCTCGGGGGGCAGGTGCTCTGCCCGCTGTGCAGGCTGCCCATGGTGGACTTGTATGCATGAACGAGCAAGAACAACACAACAGCTCTTGACAAAAGTAGCCCTCGGATAGAAGGACACAGAAGCCAGGGAAGCTTGCAAATCTGTTTTGTTTTCTCAAGGGGATGTGACAGACCCAGGGAGCTTTAGCTGGAGCGGGTACACGGGTGCAATGCCTGGACACAGCCCCTGCTGGTTTTAAATCAAACCTGCTGCCACGTCTGGAGCCTCACTCAGCACTCAAACCTCCTCTCCCACTCAGAGCCGTCTCCTCGTTCCCCAGGACATGGTCCCCTCTTGGGTGGCACAAACACAAGAGCCTTTCCCCATGAAGTATCACAAAGGGAATGTGATTTGGGGACTTTTGCCATGTCACTGTGTGCCATTTGGTCCCACTTTCCACAGCTGATCATGTGGACACACAAACTCTCTCTGGGTTTTGGGAGYGAGTCCTTCTTGGGAAGCCAACCAAGATTTTTGGTTTCTACCCCACGAGTGCTCCCCTATCTGCACACAAGGTGAATGCCTTGAGAAAAACCTTCCCCTGAAGAAGTGGCAAGGCGCTGATTTCGTATCCTGACCTGAACAGAGCAGGGGAGCAAGTTTGGGTGTCAGCACCAAATCCCCAGCACTTGTCAACCTTCCGTGCTCTCTTTTTCCATCTTCCAGTTCCCACCACAAATAAAATCAGGATTTACTGACAGTTCTGAGCCGGTGACAGCACCGATCCCTCCAGGAGCAGCCCAATTTTTAGTGGGCACACAAACTTAAAAGCACATACTTGACTCTTCTTTATCATCCCATTCAACTCTTTAACRGCCTTTGTTTATTCCCTTCTCTGAGACCCAGACACTTAATTGTGCTGAGGAAGTTGGTCAAGAGTTATAGCATCTCATTAATAGCAGGTACAATGCCATAAATACACCCACAGAGGCAATTACTGCTCTGGAGAATTAGGTCAGAGATACTTTTGGATCCCCATAGGTCGCTTGCCTCGGACTCTGCAGCCACTCAGGGATAACCTACTTACACTGGAGGTCAAGGGCTGAAATAGGCTTCTAATATTAAACAACCATATCTTCATAAAACTTTGCTTTATAACAAAATATCTTATTAACCACAACTTCTCCTATYGGTAGGTATGTATATATCATACAGAAGAGTTGGCTTAAAGGTTCTGCTATCAGGCAGTAAATTATTTTCGCTGCCCAAATGGAAAATACATCTTCAGTAAAGCTCTAGCTTATAAAAGCATCATTTTATGTTACACTGCCGCTATCTCCCTGCTATTTAGTTTTCAGGTACCATGGATCTATGGAAAATCTATGCTACCTATGGAAAATCTTGCTCCCTTCCCTATTGYTCATCTCAACGGGGCCAAGAGATTGATATTTTTGGCAGGGGGACGAGGCACAAATTAATAAATTGTTTAAAATCCTCCCATTTTAACCCTTACTTTGGATAAGGAACTATCCCCTCTGAACAATCCCCATATCCTAAACCTGAAGACTATGAGATAACAATATTTTATCCCCTCCCCATTTACCCCACCCCACAAGCCAGGTAAAAYGTGAAGAGAAATACACAACTCCAAGAATACCAAAGGAGCTCGGTGATGTGGGCAAAAGCATCCTGGGAAAGAAAGTGCACGTGGGGATAAAGGGAGCATTTCAAAATGAAGGTCAGGAGTTCACATGTAACTAGAGCCCTCGCTGCACGGCTCCAAAAAATTCTGTGCAGCTGCTTGTACCTAGGAAATAGGGAAAGTCTCGAACTTGGAGCAGGGAGGACACAGGAAAGCGAAACAAGAGAGAGAAAGGAAGGAGGATTTCACTGCCCAGCAAAAGGGATCTGCTCTGCAGAAGAAAACAGGGACTACGTGAAGCAGCAGCACGCGATGCCTACGAGGGGCGCGTGGGGGAAGCCAAGAGAAAGAGTGAAAACCTGCTGAACACCCGACGTGAGTCCAGCTGCTTTGTTCCTCAACTTCCAGAGGCTGATCCGAGCCAACACATCCTCCCTGCGAGTTCGGACCCTGCGCAGGGACCCCCGGCCAGGGGCCCCGGGSAAAAGTGCTAGGTTTGAACTGGTGCAACAGCAACAAACACAAACTTCAACTTGACTCTTCCTCTCTCCCAGGAGAGGAATTTTAGCCATTCCACTTGCAGTACCCACTGGTACAAGGTGAAGTGCATGGAGGATCTCTTCAACATCAGGATGGACCACGGCCAACGGGGGAAGCTGCTCTTCAACCCCTTGTTGACCTGCTGCTCTGAAAGCCCTTCCAACACAGCGCTCATCCACCACATCCCAAAATTCACTTTTCTACAYACCCTTTATCCCCACAGGCTACAGATGCTGCATCAGATAAGTACAGCAATCAAAACCTCTCTTTTCCCCCCCAAATCAGGTGGATATAGAGCGTGAGTTTTGAAAAGAAAGTTTCTTTCTCTGAAGTTGTTTTTCTTTCCCCCATTCTGTGCACTCACAGAAACCMAGCCAGTAGAGTGAAGTGGATGCACTAAAGTACCTGAGCTCTGAATCAAGCAGAAATACTGATGGAGATCTTCTCTGTGAACTCGAGCACAACAAAAGGTTGAGACAGCACCAAGCTGCAAGAAAATACTACAGCAAGATCGAGCCACAGTCAGATAGCTAGGCCAAAGGGAGCTCTGGTGGAGCAAAACACCAAAAAATTTTGGAAAAGAAAACAACAGGTCAAATTCTGCACCGAGCTGTCTCCTCCCTTATGGACCCTGGCATTGTTTAGCTTGAACAACTGACCATTCATGCCAAATCACGAGTATACCGGAGCATCAAAGGAAACATCAAGGTATTGCCCACACTGAAACACACGTCCTGAAGTCAATTGTCACCTCAAGGTCACCTGCAGCGGATGGTGGGCATGGTTCTCAGATCAGGGCACTTCCTCCGGGCTAAGAAATTACCTGCTACAGAAACACAACCAAACCTCAACCAACCAACCGAAATAAAAACCTTGCAAAAACTCCTCAATGCATGTGTGTGGGTGTGTGGGGGCGTGTGGGTGTGGGCAAAAAGGCTATTTCATTCGGGGCTCCACGTAAATTTTATCTCCATCCCGGATGCCGTAGGAATGCAGYGCCCGCGAGCTGTATTTCATCTCCTCGGGACCAAAAGGAGCCTCCTGGTCCAAGTAGAAGAGCAGCATGTTGCTGGTTGACAGCTGCACCACAGTTTTTAAGTGCTTCTTCAGCTCTGCCACAGTCTGATCGAGGCGGATGGACATCTCCTCCACCTTGTCCTGGAAGTGCACCTCCACCTTGACGCTGCTCTGSGGCCGCAGGTCCACCACTGCCAAGGGCTCCAGCTTCCCGTACTTGGTGACCAGCTCGTGRTACCTGCAAAATTCAACAAGTCCASASTTACGGTGCARCCAAKGCACATCTCACAGGTGTGAGCGCTCCCCACGTGACATGGCATTGATCCTGATYCCAGCTGATGGCCTGAAGCCCCAAAAACCCATCCACTCCAGTCCCATAGTCCCCAAGCTGCACCGTGGCACTGACATGAGCTCAGTGTCCCACGAGGAAGGAATTCCTGATGAGGAAAGTGAAGTTACCACCAACCTGAGATGTTTGAGCTGACTGGTCTCAAAACAGCTCCTGACAAAACTGAGCAGCACAGTGTGGGCTGTTTCAGAAATCCCAGCCATGGCTGCAGTGGGATTTAGAAGAAAGAGAGGATGCTGCACTCACAACTCTACACCTCCTGCTCCAGTGAAAAAACTGCACTGAAGAGTGCCAGGGCCAAGCCAGGGCTCACAAAAAGGACACAGCCCTCAGTTTAGATTCCCAGTATCTGTGGCTTCACAGCTTAACTGATTATCAGACATTCCYGCTGTTTTCCAAGAGGCCAGCTAGGTCCCAAATGTTGCACTCCACTRAGCACAGGATCATCAAGATCACGGAAGCAAGGTGAGCTGCTGCACAGTTTGAGAGCTGATAACACACAGGGCACTTCTTGCCAGCTGATCCTTCACACCTACTCTAAAACAAGATGGGAATTTTACTAGCACAAGCACACACTCCACTGTCACCTTGTCCTTGCAGCCAAGTGCTCTGAGTGTCCTTSTCAAGGTCCCTGCAATGGAAAGTCTGTGTCACCCCGCCCCCGGTATCGCTTCCATCGGGGCAGGCTGGATCTCCCTGCCTGGCTGGGAAAGAGAAGGAACAGCAGCACAAAACACAATGGGATTGGGATGACAAAGGCTGAGAGCTGCCGAGGACAGGTAACGTTTCAGAGCCCCCGCACAGAAAGCGCTTTTTGTTCCCGATCCCAGGCGGAGCTGAATGCGATCGGCGCGGTGTCACGGCCCCCGCCGAGCAATGATGGGATCTGGCAGCCTGGGTGACCCCAGGGAGTCCTGAGGAAGGCAGGAATGTTCCTGGAGAACAGCAGCCCCTCTGTSTGCCGGGCAGTGAGGTAAGGGCCACAAGGCACTAGGATTTCCCCAGTCCCACGGCCACAAGCCGAGCATCCCAAGGTGGGACAGTGCCCTGCTCTCACAGGCACCGGGGTGGCAGGATCAGGCCCATTTATTTGGGAAAGCCATCAGTGCTGAGAGAAAACAACACTCTCCCCACGTTTAACTCACCCACAGGCAGAGCAAGTGCCAGCCAAGGTGTCACCAGTGGGAAGGGTTTCTTTTTCTCTGGAAGGATTYGCCAGCAGCAACATCCGATGGGAAAGAGGGAGAGAGGAACCACCCATTGCTGCTCTGAACCTTTAGCCCACTCAAATTCTCACCATCCCTGCTGCTGCAGACCAGCAGCAACTTCTGTGCCAGCCACAATTACTGCTGTGATTCATGCACTAAGGGTGAACTGGGCTGATGGTRGGGAGAGGATAAAGAGGGGGACAAATTTCAGACAAGCTGAGAGAGAGAACCACCACGAGAGAGCTGCGATTAGCCAAATATGCACTGTAAATACATGCAGGGTCAAGCAATGCTGTCTTAAATTTTCTTGTGTGGAGGAAAGGCAGAGYAAGCTTTGCAGCCTGCTGCTCGTCTGTGAGCTGCAAAGGAAGTGGGGAGTGTGAGGGACTGGCTGCTCTCCAATCAATCAGGACTAAGGCACACAGTTACATGGTTGCTCTGGACCCCAATAACAGGCACCCTGGAGATTTTTCTAATCACCCCTTGCAGCCTGGCAGACGCTGAGGCTGCCGAAGCCCTGAGCCTGGCTAAAAGTGCCTGTGATCCTCTGCAGATAAACAGTGGACCAGACAAGCAGAGGGCTCATTAAAACCCCCCAGACACGAGGACGTCACTCCACAAGACAGCCAATATTGGATTGTACAGCCGGAGCTGCCTTTAACCACGACATCCAGAGAGATAAATTGTTCCTTCCATTTCCCTYCCTGCCTGATCCCTTCCAGCTGCAGACAGGAATGCAGCAAGCAGGRGGGTTCTGGTGACAGAGCTTATCACAGGCTGCACCTTGGCAGTCTGGAGGGGGGCTGCTCCCACTCGGAAGTTTTCCGTGCTCAGGTTGTTCTCTCTCTGCTCGAGGCAGCGCTGCAATGCAGATGTCAGACCCCCAGGCACAACGTGTGTGTCCTGATTAGATTCTAATTACAAACCACCTCTAGAGCCACCCCACCAGATTTGGGAGCAAGGAAGGGGAAGCTTTAGCAGCAAAAAGACACAAAATCCATCTGCAAGGAATGCCAGGTCTCCTTTCTCGTTAGGGCTGCTGATTGTGGGGCCAGGAACTGAAATGCAGCACTGAGGACTCTCAGCCATCTGCAGCCTCACTAGAAAGGAGTCTGCAGTGGCACAGAGCCCCTCCAGGACAGAACAACCCTCTCTGGTAGCTGCAGAAGTCTCTTGGAAACGCTGCACAGATGAAGGGATTCGGACAAAGAGGCCATTGACCATGAAAAAGACAGTACCAGTGTTTAAAGGCTAAGAAATCTGAGGGGGAGGTAATTTTTCTAGCATAAAGCTGGCATGATGGTCAAAATCAGCCTGGTTTTCTTGGATGGGTGAGATGTTAGGAATCTCTTACAAGAGATYCCACCTGGAAATTATCTCAGTGGTGTGTGGTGATGTGTTACACACAGCCTGTTCCCAAAATCCATGTCCTAGGCATCATGAGTGCCTAAAGCTGCACCCCACCGTGTCCTTCCCTGCAATATATGGATCACTGACATTCTGTCACCATCAAACATGTGAAACAGCTTYCTTAGATATGAAATGTTATGAAAATTAATCCTTTTGGGAGCAGCACCATGAGCTCATGGTTCCTGTCTCCCCTTCCTCTCTCCTGCATTCTCTGCCTCTGCTGTGATCCCTTCCAATATTTCCTTCAATTTTTACGCTTCAAGGCCCTCCAAAATTACWAGCCAGGACTTGTACCTCAGAAAAAAGACCAGCTGTCCTGTCTCCCTGACTACATGATGTCCTTTGCATCTGAACTGACCTCAGTATGCCTTTAACAAACACTGTAATCACTGACCCTATTAATATTCATACAAAATGCCATGGCCTCATTGCCCATTCCAGCCTTCCCATCCCCTTACTGGATTGGCAAGTCACATATCCAGTGCTTTAGAAAAACAAGAGACATTTCAGCTGGCAGTTAAGCAGAGGAAAACACTGACCAGATTCCATTTGCACCCACACCAGGCCACACCTGTGACCTTCAGTGTGTCCCTATGTCTGTCTATCCCCTCCACAGTCACACACACACTCCTGTCCTACTCCTTTTCTGTAAAAAAAGGATAATAAAGCTTTGCTGTCCAAAAGCACATGAGGGTTTTAGGGCAGAGGGCAGGCAAAGGCAGTGGCCTGATGCTCCATGATCCTTCCTCAGCCCATKAAAAGCAGTAAGTGGATGCTGGCACAAAAAAGGTACAGACTGAACAGCATCTGTCCGAGTTCATTAGTTTACCAAGATGAACTGATCATGGGATGGACTTCTCTGGCAAAGAAAACCCATCAGATYTGTGATTTGCAGGCCTGAAAGTGAGGGGACAGCCTCTCGTTGCCAGCCACATTGCACACACCAGATGGTCCAGAGGATTAGATGGCCTGGGCTGGCAGCAGAGAGCACGATGTGTCCTGCCTGGTGGGCACTCCCAAACACAGGTGGATGATGAAGGGAGCCGAGGGACAGGCCAGGAAACCATGAAGGTCACRAACTGAACAGTCCTGTTGTTTAATGGCACTTGACATGGGGATTTTTAAGACCAAATTTGACTCAGGAGTGACCCTCCAAGCCATCAGGCAACAATAATAAAACAATTTTAGCTCAAACAGACTGAGGGAGCCAAGGTTGGAGGAAGGTGAGGGATTTTTTTTCATGAAACAGCTGGCACAGATTTCCCATCTCCTCTTCTGTCACCTCTCCTTTAGCCTCCCCACCCTTCTGWCCCTGCTCTCTATGGCACAGCAGAGAATTCCCACCTGAAAGGGACCTCCTCCTCCGGGTACTCCATGTAGTAGCGGATGAAGAARCGCTCCGAGTCCTCGCGCTCCCCGTCGGCCACGATGCTGCCGTTGAGTTTGGTGATGGAGGGCAACCTGCAGGCACACACCAAGAGCCACAGTCAGCCAGGAGGGGAGCCCAGACAGGCTCAGCCACTCACTWATGTGCCCCAGCTTTAATACCATGAGAATTCCTGCCAGGAAGCTCAGGCCTTGATCCCTTTGAGAGAGCAGGGAAGCTCTATGTAATTTCTCAAGTATATACAAAATTATGTATTTTCATTTCACCACATACTTGCATCACATGCACAGGCATGTATGAGACTCAAAAAACTCCCTGAGAARCAGAGAAGTCAGATTTAACATTTCCACTCCTCTGACTTTTCCACAAAACAAGCTCAAAGCTTTCTGCATTCACTCAGAATTTCATCTCCTACCAAGCTCTTCTTCTGATGAGCTGCTCCAACCCAACAAATCAAGCTTCAATCTTTCTGCATTCACACAGAACCTCCATCTCCTGCCAGCCTCTTCCTCTGATTAGCTGCTGCCACCCCTTCCTTGCCATGTCACATCTCTGCTGAGGACAAACAGACCTGGCTATTAGCAGCTTCCTGCGCTCCTCRGTGGTGTAGGACTGCAGCAGAGGAATTCCCAGCAATTTCACTTCCTCGAGCTTGGGGAAAGAATTTAACTTGTCAATGTCTTCCCAGCAATGCAGACCTGCTCAGGAGGAAAGATTTGTGTTAACACACACAGAAAATACATCATGGATCCAAGAGAATCAGACACAGCCAAAGAACATATGTGACAGGAGAGCGTCGCTGCTGTTCTTTTGAGAAGTTGGCTTTTTGCTCGTGATGTGCTGCTTAAAAAGCTACATTTGCTTCCAAGACAGARCAGCTGAAATCTCTTGTGCTGTTTTCCAAGTCTAAAAGGATGATCTCTACAGCTTTTTTATGGTSCACTCAGCCTTTGGCCTCACTGCTGGGGACTGACCAGCATCAGTGATGTTGTGTCCATAAAGGGATGCTGCCTTCAGAGTGTTAAAATCACCAGCACTTCTTTCATTCCAGGCATCACTAAACAGCCATCAAAAGGCTTTACCTCACACACATGACCACCTTGGGCCCCATTTCTGCTCACAACGCAATGGTAAAATAGTCCCAGAAGCCACCCAGCCGTTTAATGAAAAAGGTTTTAACTCGTTTTCRGCTCCCTCAAGACCTGACATTTGGGATAACAAAGCAAGCAGCGAGGGCAAAATAAAAATAGCTGAGGATTGAGCACCAGTGGGAGCTCTGATTGTGTGGTAAGATCAACACAACTCATCCTGGAGTCTTCACCTGACAGAACTTTGGAGGGCAGCAGCTTTCTCTAAAACCCCCAAAAATTTTAACAYGCTCCTTGGGATTCCCATTTGATTTCAGCTCCCAAAACATCAAAATGCAACACAGAGCCCAGAGTTCTTAAGCACCYGACATCAAACCTGCACAACTACTTACCACAGGAGCACTTGTTCCTTGGCGAGACAGTGCTTTCAAATGCAGCTTAACAGGCTTTTCCTCCTCTAGTTAAGCTTTTATTACAGGCATTCCTTGATGCTTACATTGTAGGGCATGTTAATAAAGTCCCTTCTACCTGCCTGACACGTCAGCAGCACTCTCACAGCATATAAAGCTGTAAAGAACAAAAGCTGCTGGTGCATGAAGCACTGCTGCAGATGAATTTCTGSTGTATGTGTCATCCCACAAACATGTCACAGCCCCCACGAGCTGCCCTGCAGCTCCTTCTCGCCCAGCACAGGGTGCTCTACCCAATATTCCAACTGCTCATTCTCTTTCTGGAGCGTTGGCTGCAAATTCTCTGGGGCTGGAATGTAAAAGCAGCTCCCAGCATCACTTGTGAGATTGTAATGACTGAGCASAGCTGACAGACAGCTTCTGCTGGGGAATGCTTGATCCACTCTGCATACCTGCACATGCCCTCATTTCACCCAAGATAAAACAGGGAATAAAGGGAAAATGGGATTCTTTCATCCCCTCCACTGCCAGACATTTATTTATCCATCTCCAGCCAGGAGTACCTGAGGCAGGGATGGGAAACAGAGGGAAACTACCAACATAAAAACCTTTCCCAGCTCATTTTGATTAACTGTTCCACACTGCTCTGACTCATCTTTTGATAATGACTGAATACCCAAAGCAGCAGGAAAATCCCACAGATGGACAAGTTCATTTCTTGTCATCTATCCAGGAGGAGAAACTCTGATCAACCAACAAAACCCATCCCCGCTTCCAGGCTCTCACCTGACTTGTGCAAGTTGATGGATCTTAAATTGGGGAAGAGCCTTGCTAGGGAATCTTCTGACTCTTCAATAGTGGTGAGGTTGTTGTTAGCCAGGATAAGTGTGTCCAGTGATGGAAACATAATTCCCAATTTTCGAATTTCAGTCCAGTCTTGAAGATTATTGTCAGTTATGTGGAGTAGCTTGAGAGACTGACAGCAAACTGGAGAACAAGACACTGTTTCGTAGTCATTAAGGCACAGGAAGAGCTCCTCCAAGCTGCACAGGGCAAGAAGGATCATGTCACCATCTCAGCACACCCTGGGAAATGCAGCTCAGTTTGATGTGATTTTTATGTGATTTTAACTCAACAGCTCCTATGTGATTTGAAACCTTGGTGCAGAGAAGACCTTTGGGAACTCCACATGGAGTGTTTCAACTACATCTCTGCTCCCATCGTATCTTCAGAGATTAAAAAACCTTTTCAGTGTCCCCAGARTCTCTCCCATTATAAAACAGATTGGTTGGGGTTGTCTTCTTCCACATCTGTGCCCAACAAGCCACCAACCCAACTTCAATGGTGACTGGGACYTGCTCCCAGTGCTCTCTGCATAATTTAAAATGAGGTTCTGATACTACACCGAAGATGCTTTTTTTCCACACATCCCTGACAAAGATTCCCATTAAAGAAAGAACAGATCCCATTAAAGAATCAACAAGTCCCACTAAGTTCTCAGACAACTGAACTCTCCCAATCCCAGAGAAGCATAGGTTGGCCACACAGGATGATGTTGTCATCATCTCTGCTTACAAAGCCCTACAAAGAGGGATCTGTCATCAAAATGAAGCCACTGATGACATCCACGGGAGCAGAATGCCAAGGTGGCCCGTGGCCAAGCCACAGAAATCAACACCTTTGCACAGAAAAGGATGAAATATTCCTTGACAATTGGCCAGACCCTCAGAGGTACCTCCCATTAACAGGTATGCACTGCACCATTCATTGCACAGTGACTCAGAGGGAAGGGTGACCCTCCTACATTTTCTGGGGTCATTATCCATCTCTGGTATTTAGGTTTGGAGGAAGAGAAGCCCTGAGCTTTGCAGAACCACACAAATTTGGGTTTTAAGACAATGTAAAGCATTCACCTGGCCACTTCCCAAACTCCCAAAGGAAAACATCCCTTTTTCTCTACTGATATTTGCATCCTCACATCTCCCTCATCCCTCACCACGTGATGCAATAACCCATTCTTGGTTAGAAAACATCCCTGTGTGTCCCCAGCTCCCCAGGCTTACTCTGGTAATTCCTGCAGGATGGTGTGCACTGTTTCCCAGGAAGCTTTGCTGTTGTTGAGCACAAGTTTGCGGACGCCAGCGAAAGACCCAGCGCAACTTCTCTCTAAAACGGACAAACTGAGAGGGTTGGAACTCAGGTTTAGAAACTCCAAGTGGGGGACGTTGGACACAATTTTACTGACCTAAGTGGGGAAGGAAGAAAAAAAAATAGAAAGAAATGTGTATCAGGCAGTAATCGAATCTCTGGCAATAATATCYCACCTCCTAAAAGGGGGCTCTGTGGAATCACCACAAAGCAGTGATATGGGGAAAAAAYATAAGGATATCTACCTGTAATTCATACTCCAGCCATTCCTGATCTAGATGGATTGGTTAATTGCTCATTTTCCTCAATGGTTCATTTAATTACACTCTAGGAGCAGCTTGATAAGAGAAAGGCAGTCCCTTGGGAGAGGTCATAAAATCCACCTCAACCCCATGGCTGAGCAGCAGCACRTTCCAGGAGCCAGGCCTTGCTCACAGGGGCCATGGACACCTGTTCTGACTCCATGACCAACCTGAGCATTTGTCCAGCTTCCCACTGCTCCCCGCAGAGCTCAGCCAATTCCTAATTCCCCTCCTGGACTGGGGAACTGAGTGGGAAAGCAGAGTAAGGGAATGGCAGCTCCCAACCCCATTCCCGCACCATCARTCTAGACAATAGATTGGACATCAATCTAGAAAATAATTTTGAGTCAGGGAACATCTGACTGGAGAATTCCACTCCATAAAGGGTCAGAAGGAGCAGAAATGGGGCAGACCATGGCACACAGAGGTCAATAAATGGCCCAGTTGCTGGCAAAGGGTGACTGTCCCATGCAGAGGTTGAATTCAAGCGTGGCAAACATGAGATAATGAACCTGCTTCACTTCACACCTCATSTCAGGTGATGTCATGGTTTGGGTGCTACACCTCAGGAATTAAGTAGGAAAATTGGATGACATCAGTCCAGCAAAAGCACGGGATTTAGGGAAAATGGTTTATGATGAATGACTGGAAGAAGGGTAATTTTTCAGTATTATACTAAAATAAGGAAAGGAGGTATTAAAGTTCTTCATGGGTATAAAGAGCTGTTGTATAAGGAGCAGTGATGGTGCTCCTCCTGCCTGCTGAGAACAGGGCAGGCAGAAATTGGCTGAAATTGCAGCACAGGAGRCTTAAATTACACAGTTTAGCCTATGAGGTTATTAGCTAAGCATGGGAACAGGCTACCCAGGGATCTGGAATCCCCAGCAGGGGCAGGTTTTAGGAGTGGGGAGACATTTATCTGGAGTGGATGGGTGGAGAAAACTTAATCCTCTCTGAGGAAGGGGCAGCATACACAGAAGCCTTTCAGTTCCAGAGCAGCCTAAARAGACTGAACACAGAGCAGGGTGTGAGTGACCACATGTGAGGTCAGCCCTACTRAGCTGGGACACTGCAAACACTGCATTCACTCCCTGCTTAAAGACTCCAGAGTCTGAAGGCACAAAACCCCAAGATATCTTATTTTTTCCAYGTATTTCCAACAATAAACACTAACATAAAAGGAGAGCATAATCCAGTGAGTAACTTAATGACACTTGAACGGATGGAGATTGTTTCACTCCTGTTACATTGCATTTATTGAGCATTATTTCATCCAAGTACTTCAAAGGATTTTACAACAGCATTTAGCATTAATTAATGAGGCTGCAGAAATACCCTTTGTGGTAAAAAAAWTTAAACCTTTTTTGAAGATAAGGTAATGAATGTGGAAAGGGAATAAATACCTTGCTCACCATCACAGTGGCAAAGCTGAGTGCCATATCTTGGACCTCCTCCATTCTTACTCTGCTAAAAATTGCACTGCTCATTAACCTCTTGATACATTAGAAATGCCAGTTGCAAATAAAATAAAAACACAGATTTTTCACCCACAAGCCAAGACTGTAAGTCACAAGGTACATGGAGTGAAGTGCCACACTGGATTAATTTCACCACATATATTGCTCAGTTGCTGTTGAAGTAAATAAACATCAGCTTCAGAGATGAGAAAGAAGCCACAAAAATGGGACTCTCATCAATGCAATGCACTTGCAGTCCTGCTAATAGCTGTGAAAGGTACCCAGAAAGGTGCCTGTCACCATTTTACCTCGTGCCAGTCTTCCAGTTTGTTGTCAGAGAGGTCGAGCTCAAAGACGTGGGCGCAGAARGCGGCGATCTCGTTCTCATCCCCGGCACAGGTGATGCCACAGCTGTTGAGCACCAGCACACTCGGCAGGTTCAGGCGGTCTGGGAAAAGGAAAAACAGAAGCTGCCTCTGCTCAGCACTGCCTTGGACTTACAGAACCCAGCACTGAGCATGGATTCACAGCCAGCACAAGGAATCCACCAATAATGCCAGAATTTACAGCTGCTTCAGGAGCTGGGGTTAAACGTGGATTTTAAGACTGACACCATCATGAAGTCTTGACTGTAAACATGAAGTACCACTCATATCAGTGCTCTTCAGTTCCTCCATCTATTTCTGTGTATTTCAGGCYAGTCCTTTGTCATTTATGGCCTGTTTCCTATCAGTCCTTGCCAGAGCTTGTGCTCTTCCCCAGGCAGCTGCTGCTGCAGATAGGACACAGGACCAGGGGAGTGTCAGCTGCACAGTCAGASTCCTTATCCTCTTGCCCTGAGCCCATTTGGGCTTAGTGACAGCAAGGAGGTATTTAAACATTTCTTAGGAGGTATTTAAATATTCCTTTTCTAAGCTTTCCCTTCTCAAGGTTCACTGCACAGCATTCAGCATTCATGCAACAATTCAGGTCTCTGCTCTGCCTTCCTATTTCTGCTTTGGTTTTGCTCCAGCTCCTTCTCAGGCAGGTAAATGTTCTCAAAAATACAACCAAGGACTTGGACCTCAATCACAGCCTGCTGTGCTAAGGCTAAAACACAACAAAAAGCTGGGGATTCGTGACAGGAAAGCATTTCCTCACAAGAAATCCATGTTGAGGCAAGGCAAGCCATCAGTCTTATACTCTTTCACACACAACATGGCTCTCCCACCTCTGTGGAGTACTAAAATCCATTAAAATTTAACCACAAGCTTTTTCCTAAATAGCTGACCCCTTTTCTGCTCAACACTTGACAGCTCCATGACTAGAAAGGGATTCTAGCAGAAAACAATTATATGCAGTGACCTGGGTTTCCAAATTTTCTGGCTCATAAGGGTTGGGGTTCTTTAAAGGATAGTGAGGCACTTTGGAAATTACTCATGGAGTATTTGTAAGTCAGGTCTCAGTCACATTTCAAGATGTGGCTTCTTTTAAATTTACCTGCAGAGAGAGCACCGACTGAACATTCCATCAGGGCACTTTTCTGCTCTTGTTCATTCTTAGAGTGTTTTATCCCCAGCTGAACTCAGACCCATTTTTCTCCTCTGTCACACCCAGTTATTGGAAACTTCACCCAGCTGATTTCCATGGCTATTTCCCCCTTTGGGGCTGGTTATGACACAAATTGACCTGATGGATGTTTGGATTWCTCCTACAGATCATGATGGGCAGGATGTGTGACACAAAGAAGGGACGGCTCTGATGGGATCAATGTCAATCTCAGACCCATTTGTACAAACGTAGAATGAAATGCCAACATCAGAGCGCGAGGGAAGACTAAAGAATGTCACATGGATCTAGTTCAAAGGAGATGCTGACACAGATTCTGCAATCTGGGAGGCTCAAGGACATCCCCAAGCMGCACAGAGCCTCAGATACACATCTGGCTAAATTCCCTAGAGGCAGCAAGGTCAGGAGCACAGGAGAGGGGATTTCTCCACTAGGTCACAAGCATTTGGTGCCTTGAGAAGACAAAGTACACTGCAAGTTCATCTGAGGCTCTTRTCACAAAAGCAGCCTGGCTGGAGGCTCAACAACTCATCACTCTGCTTGAAATATATCCCCTCCTGTGTACAGGGGCTCCTGTCCCTGCAGACATCAAAGTGAGCTGATGGCACCACTGGCATGGGGACCAACTTCGAATTTAGATCATGTTTTATGTCTTTTTGAAGCCACCTCTGCCAAAACACCTGCTGCTGCAGCCAATAATAAAATAGGATCACTGGCCTGAAGGAAACAAGCTCCAGGGACTGCTGAACCCTCAAAACACAGACTGCACAGGGCTTTAGTTCCATCTCCCACTGGCAGGGCTGCAACTTGGTGATCTTGAAGGTCCTTTCCAACCCAAATGGTTCCATTCTATTCTTTAATTCTGATTCTGTTATGCTGTAGAAAAACTTGTTTTTTTACAGCAACCAGTTGAGCCCGAAAATCAATTTTCTATCTCTGTTAGAGCTCTCCAATAAAAAACACATCATAATGGTTATTTTCCAGGGCAATTCAGGGTGATTCCTCTTTCAGCTGATTCCTCCCAGCACCCCCCAGATGCTCAGAAAGACCAGGAGTTACCTTTCATGGGTGAGCCCTGGGGAGTTGCAGGGACGTGCACCCCCATGCCAGGCCCACGGCGATAGGGGAAGTTCTCAGGGCTGTATTTCTCACAAAGAACTTGCATGAAACTCCTTCCACTGGGCTGGTCCATGCTCCCTTCTTGGACTTCTGGTTGAAGAAGAGAAAAACAGAGAACATGAGCAGTCAGAAAGTAATAATCACTTCTAATAGAGAAAACAGAGAAAGAAAGCAAATGGGTCATGGATTTTGTTTCTGAGCTCCAGATCGGTCTAACAGGTCCTATTTCAAATTCTAGATTAAAATAAAACATTACTTGGAAGGAAGCCCAAACCAGAGGGTTTGGTGCTGTACAAACACAGCATTACAGGCCAGGTTTGAGACCTCCTCACCCCACCTGCTTACAGGATAATTCCAGGCTGCAAAAGGTGACTTCTGTGCTTGTCAATTCTGTACCTCCCACAAGGACTGTGAGAAATCCACAGCTATTCTCAAAYACATTTCCAGGAGGGGAAGGAGCAAACAGCTGTTTGTGAGTAAGAGATTGCTSCAACAGCTGTTTGCCAACTTCCCTTTTCTGCTGTGTCACCAAACATGGCCTGGCCARACCAAAAGGCAATTTTGGCCAATTCCATTCTGCAGCTGCCTAATGTATCTGGGAGATAATAACTGTGCCCTTCGTATCTGGGCATGGCACAGAACAGCACAGGAAGAAGGCCTGGCCTCAGCACAGGCTGCTGGCCTGCCTGCAGAGATACTGAGAGTCAGCTGGGAGTGTTTTTGGCACAAGGATTCCTCCATGACTGGGTTCTGCCCTGCCCAGGTGGGACTCAGCTTCTCTCTCTATTTTCCTGTGCACACTCTGAACTTGGCATTCAATGGTTTTATAACAGAGCAGCAGAGCTTGATACATGAATGAAGAAAGAGATGGTTGTTTCCAGAGATCTCCTGGTCCTGCTACCCATCATGGACACATCATCACAATCCTGAACCTACAGGAACCAGAGCAGCTTCTCTATAGTGTCCAAATAGTCATGGGGCAGCTTTTTCACTGCAAAAATTACCTTTTCTAAGCTCAGAGTGGGGCAAACATACATTGAAAGCCATGTTGCTAATCCTGAATTAAAGTTTCTGTCTGTTTCTTTCAATTAGAATTAAATTCATTAGAATTATTACAGGCAAGGGTATAAATTCTAGGAAAAAAAAATCTAAACAAAAGTGATTTTACTAAGGTTCAGGCTCTCTTTGCTGAGAATCACCTGTTTAAGAAGCTCCACTTCTTCACCAGACCACCTAAAACCCACCAATCACAAAGAATTGAAGTAGAATAAACAACAGAAGTAGAATAAACAACAATTGACTGAAATGTTATCATTTTTACACTATATATAAAGTTTACATGTCACAAATAGGGACTTAATAGGATTGGTCTTAAAAAAAACCCAAAAAATACCATTTTCATCTCTCAACAGCTTGGTTGATTCATAGCTCAAACTTGACTCATGTCACTACTCTATCTRGAATCAAAAAATGAATCCTCAAACAGAAGTTTGATAAGAACAAGGTATTTAATTTTAGGCTAAACCACTCCACGTGGTACGGCACACTTTGCACTGACAGCTGAGATTTTAGGCTGAAAGGCCTCATTTCAGAGTGTTTTGGGAGCTCAGTCCCATCCACAGCCAGCCAGGGATTTCTGAACACACATTCAGACCTCCTGGTCTGGAAATTCTGGAACTCGCCCGTGCATAGAGCTTTCTGTCTTTGACAGGGCTTTTCTATCAAACTCCATCCCTCTTTATCCTCTGAACAAACATCAGCTGGAATTTCCACAGGAGAAACTCACCTTAGAGGCAAAAAATGGTGATTTTAGCTACAGTGTGAGAGCACTGAGAAGAAAAACTACTAACATTTACATCCAACAGCTCTGAATCACCAACATTTTCATTCTCAAGCTCCACTTTTGCACACCAATACCATTGTGAGATGACAAAAACATCACAGAGTGGGCAGTCCCCTTTCCCACCTCCCTTCCCATGGGATTCCAGGTCCCYTGTAATCATCTGTCAGGAACGTGGCTTCTCTGAATCCCTGCAGCAAGGAGCAGGATATGCACAGGGAATGACAGGTTTGAAGGGAATGCTGTCAGCACAAGGGTGGGACAGGGTGACCTGCAAGGTGCACATTTCTGAGGGTGTCCTTAGTGACAGCACGAGGAACAATTCACATCCCAAAATAACTCTGGGGCTTCTAAGTGACAGCACAGATTGCAAACGAGGCACTTGGTCTTTGAGAGGTGACAACAAATAGCCTTTGTTGTTATATTTAAGTGCTCTGCTGGAGGGCTGTGGCCCCAGTCACAAACAATAGAGAATCACAGAATGGGTTGGGTTGGAAGGGATCTTAAAAATAATCTCATTCCAGCCCCTCATTCCAACACCTTTCCCCTATTTCAGGTTGCTCCAAGCCTCGTCCAACCTGGCCTTGGACACTTCCAGGGACGGGGCAGCCACAGCTTCTCTGTGCCAGGGCCTCAACACCCTCACAGGGAACAATTTCTTCCTCATATCCAATCTAACYCCACTTTCTGACACTTTGAAGCCATTCCCCCTTGTCCTGTCACTCCAGGCCCCTGGAAACAGTCCCTCTCCATCTGTCTCCCTTCAGGTCCTGGCAGGCCACAATTAGGTCATCCCAAAGCTTCTCTACTCCAGGCTGAACTATCCCTACTCTCCCAGCCTTTTCTCATCTCAGAGTTGCWCTGTCTCTCTGATCATCCCAGTGCCTCCCCTGAACTCTCCCCAGCAGCTCCAGGTCCTTCCTGTGCTGGGATTCCCAAGCTGGAAGGAGCATTGGAAGTGTCTGGAAAGAGGAGCATGACCCTGACTTGAGATTCCAGGGAAACCCAGAGTGCTGCTGCAGCTGACGAGTGGAGTGAAAAGAGAACACTAAAAACACAAAAAACATTTCCATGCCCTGTGCTTCGAGCCTGCGAGGAGAAGAAGAAACCCTTCAGGAGAATGACATCATTAATGACATGCTAATGAAATTCCAGTGCCACTCAAATGCCTTCAGGGCACATCCTGAACAGTCACACACCAAACACATCCTGACATGTCTGTATACATGAAAAACAAAGCGTAAGGAATGGATGAACAGCACAAACATCCGTCTGGAAGAAGCTGGGACATCGTTTGACCCAGACATGATTCAGGAAAATTATTTTTGAAATGATCTCAAGAGGCAAAGAAGTGAATCACAGAAGAGTTTGGGTCAGAAGAGGACCTTGAAGATCATCTTGTTTCAATTGCCTGCCATGGGCAGRGAAATCCCATCAGGATTTATCAGGAATTGTATCAGGGCAGGGAGCCTGACCCTCTGAGCCACCCAAGCAGGTGAAACTCTTGTCAAGGCCCCCATCCAACCCAGCAGGGCTGTTTGCTCYCACACCACAGCACTGTGGAGAGAGAACCAGAAACCACACAGGAGATCCTGAATTATCCCTCGCCACGCTCCTGGCCCGACTCTAACACCGTCCCACCGAAGCATCAATTCCCTGCTGGAAATCCCGCTGGGTGCAGAGCCATCCCGCTCCCTGCCCGTGCAGCTTGGCTCCAGGGCAGGRTGAACACCCAGCTGTCCCCTGACAGCTCGGCCCCCGCAGCCCCGAGCCCCCCGCGGCCTGTCCGCGCCCTCCCTCCCCTCACACAGCCTGTCCCCGCTCCCCTCACACGGCCCCGGGCTGGCCGGGGGTGACAGCGGCCTCCGCGCTCCCGCCGCTCCCGGAGCCGCAGCCGGGGGGTTCTGGGAGTCCCCCGGCGGTGCTGGGCGGTGTCCCCGCTCCCCGCTGTCCCCTGTCCCCCGCTGTCCCCTCGCCCCTCTCACCCAGGCCCGGCCGCCGCGTCCCGCATCGACCCGGAAGCAGCTCCAAACATCACGTGACGGCGGCGCGCGGTCACGTGACGAGGGAGCACCCCCCCCGTTGCCGTGGAGACGGAGACGCCGATGACGTCACCGCTGTCCCCAGCGAGGTTTTCCGGGGACGCGACGGGGACAGCGATGGCAGCGGGTCAGGGAGGGGATCCTGCCCYTCTGCCCAGCCCTGRGAGGCGCATCGGGACWGCTGTGTCCGCCTCGGGGCTCCTGGGGACAGCAGGGACACGGAGCTCCTGGAGCSGGGCCAGCGGAGGGTGACAAATGTGACAGAACTGGAGCATCTCCCTGATGAGGGAGCTGGGGCTGTTCAGGGGCTGAGAGGGGACATCAGYTCTGTCTGTMCCTGTCTGCAGGGAGGGCTCATTCCAGAGGAAAGCGCAGGAACTGATGGGCAGGAATTCCCCCTGCACAGGAGGCAGAATTTCTTCATTGTCCGGTGGCTAAGCCCCGAAAAGGCTGCCCAGGGACGGTGTGAAGTGTCACTGGAGATACTCCAGAAGCATCTGGGCACAGCTCTGTGCTTTGGGATGACCCTGCTGGAGCAGGCAGGACCGGGTGACACCGCGAGGTCTCTGCCCTGGCCCAGCCTGTGACTCTGTGGTGTCACACAGAAATCATGCCAAGATCCCCCCAAGGTGGCACCCCAGGGTCCTGCTGGAAGGGCAGCTAAAGCTGCATAAAATTACCTAAAACCTGCAAATCCATAACCACTGCAGGATCTGAAATGCCAGCAGCGTGGCACTGCCCACCTGCACTTCACCAGTTCACCCATTCCTCTCCTGTTCCCTCCGTGCTGKCACTGCCCCTTCTGCAGTGCCTTGTCACAGCCTCAGAGWGAAGSACAGAACTGCAGAATCCCAGMCTGRTTTGGGTTGGAARGGWCCTTAAAGCYCATCCCATTCSACCCCTCTGCCGTGGGCAGGGACACCTTCCACYGGGTCACCCCAAGCCTGGCCTGGATGACAAATCATGCTGGGAACGAGGACAAATCCACCCAGGCTGGTTCCGCACCCGGTAGGAATCAGAAACTGCCYGAAACACGGCCTCTGGTGCCTGGCAGAGGCAGGGGAGCTGGAGGAGAGCTGCTTTGGTCATGGCTGGGTGGCTGCAGTGCATTTCCCCCGCTGGAACACCACCGGGACAGATTTATCCTGTTACCCGCACACCGCGGCTGCTGCACGCTGCTCCAGCACACAATGGCACCATTGTGGGTGCTGCCCAGGCACAGGGTGACAGGAGGTGCTCAGCAGCAGCCCAGGGGATGTTTTAACTCCTGCTCTGCTGGGTAATTCCTGCCCCACTCCTGCCCCACTCATCCTGACATCGTGGGTTTGCACCCACACCACTCATTCGCGGCCAAGGAGGCGACTCCCCCAGTTAAACCAGTCAGATTGAGGATTTCTCAGGAGAAAATATCCCTCCCGAGAGGAAAAGAGAGACCATTGGCAGAGCTGGAGCCATCAGCACATCCCATTAGCTCCAGCTACAAACATAAAGCTGTGTCAGGCTTGGTCATAGAATCTAATGAGCTGTTCAGCGRGGCCCAAAACTATTACCACAACTGAAATGCAGCTGCACTGTCGGCCATTCCCTGCTCACAGCAGCTTTTTAAACARAGCACGGGGCATTTTCTGCAGGACTCTGGTGGGGAAAGGCAGCCTGACTTGCCAGCCTTGCCTGCTGCAGGGTTTTGACAGATTCACATCGCTGCTGCCTACCCTGGGGTAAATTCACCACTGAGAAAGGGTTTTTGGGGTGCCACAGGCCATTTCCATCACCAGTTTTGCTGTGTGCCACCCTGTCACCCCCACACCCCTCCCAGCAGAGCAGCAGCCCCAGCTGAAATACATTTCATGGGCCTGTCTGCCCTTTGACAGAGAGGAAAACACTTGGGTGTTCTTCCTTTGTGCCCCGTTGACACAACACTGGGTTTATTTGGTTCCTAGGCAGGCCAGCACTGCTGAACATCACCTTGCTAACACTCCCTAAAATCCTGCTCTCCCCGTGCTCTGAACGGCTCATTTGGTTCTTTCAATACATTCCGAGGAGAGCTTTGTCTCCTCTCAGTTTTCCTTCCCCCTCTGCTTCTCGTATCTGTTTCAGCRAGATAAAGAATTCCACTGCATTCAGAGGCCACACTCTTTTCCTAACAATCCTCACGATTTTTTTTTTTAAATTTTGTTTTTTTTTATTTTTGCCCAGCTCACCTGTGCTATTCGGTTGCTAGCAGGCAGACAGGGCATATTTTAGCTGGTAACTGGCACCACAGCTCGACTCGAAACACATTTCACTTTCTATAATTACAGATCAACTGGATAGAGCAGATGTCTGCGTTAACCTCCACTGGGTCAGCGCTGCAAGTGTGAGAAAGTGGCTGCTGCAGCTCTGGTTGACTTTAGAGCCCATTTCCACGGAGACTGGACAGGTCAGGGAATTGTTAACACAATAGAATCGTCCCCCWGTGGGGAGCAGTTTGAATTCAGCCCGAGCTGACCCAGATTCGGAGCGCTTATCACGCTGGCTGCCCCATTGTTCGGGTGGAATCAGTTTGGTGGCTCTCAATCTCCTCCTGCCTGGCACACAGGTATCCTCTTGCCCGAGCTTTGAGCAGCCCTGGCCCCTCCCTGGCAGGCTCCCCTCTTTCCCACAGCCAGGGGTTAAACAGGCCATGGGAACTGGGAGAACTGGGATTAGCTCATCCTTCCTTCTGCTGGGGTACCTGCAGTGACGCACTTTCACCCCACTGAAATGTCCCATAAAGCAACAGAGCCACCAAATCCAAAAATCCAAATTATTTCCCTGYTTTTAGAGCTGGACCTGATTAAACTCATTATGCAAAACATCCTCAATAAATGAAAATAATCCTGTCACAAGCCTTCCCTCATTACTCGTGTTTCTAACTCACCACAAATTAATGTCACCCTCTGTCACCAAGGTCTGGGTTGCACATGCTGAGGCCAGGAGGGACCCAATGTTACATTCAAAAGACAAGCCAAAAACACCCCTGATTTCACTGCCATTTGGTCTGAAGGGCAAAAAAAATAATAAAATAAACCCATGTATTCCTGAAAAATTACCTGTGACGGAGAATCAAACCCAGGCTGTGAAAAATCAAACAGTTAATTACTCACTGTACTAATGAAAAAAAAAAAGAAAAAAAAAAAGCAGGCTTTGTTCCAGTCACAGTGAGGCATCTAAACCCAATTAATTCCCAGCTCACACTAATAATGTTCAAAAGGTCTCKCTGCACACAGAGCTGGAGTGTCACTGTCACACTTGGGGACACGGAGACACCGAGGTCACCGAATTTCCCTGGGTCACACACAGAGATAATGGCAGCAGCAGAGCAAGGAGCATCTTTGGGACTTTGCTGCTTATCAGAATACTTCTGCCTATATTAAAAACAGCAGAGGTTTTCGGGGGAGGGCAGGGGAGAGGATTTAAACCATGCAATTTTCTGTTTCTTTTCTGTAGCTTTTTGATCCTTTCACTTTTGGGTCTAGCAAATGCAACTTTCTTCATCCTTGGAGATTATTCTTCAATTCCTCAAAGAGGCTTCAATTTTCTCACAAATCTCCCTTCCTTTCACTTAATTTAAACATTTATGGCCAATTCCATGATTTAATAATGAGAAATAAAATTGGAGATTTACTAAGTGTTGAGAGAAGACCTTTCATTCCATTTGGGGATTAAGAAGGGAGTTAAAGATGTGAGCCCTGTTAGCCACGCTGGYCTGACCTGAGCTCCAGAAGAGCCCAATCCTGACGGGTTCTGAGCATTCCCTGCTCCCACCCGAGCCAGAAAACRCTGAACACGCTGCAAATTYGGCCCCTAAAGACCCAAGCAAGGCYATAAATCCACAGCAGAGCTGTTTCACAGATATTTTGCTAATAACTTTAGAGCCTGACTTCATTTAGCAGCACTGCCARCTGATCAAGCCCAAGCTGCTCCTCACCACACCATTAATTTAAGGTAACTATTCACCGGGATCTTCGGTTCCGCACAAACGCTTCCCAAATCACTCCTTCAGTCTCTGTCAATTATCCGAGACTAATGCACCTCCAAGTTACCTTTCAGAGCAAACATTTCTCCGTGGCCATAATTCTAAAATATTATCAGTGGCCTGAAGATCGGGACAATGCGGTTTTCAGCTTGCAGAAATTGAGGCTGCGCGTTCAGACGGAGAAATCGGAAATAAATCAACGCTGCTGGAGTCTAAGATCTATTGCATTTTCATAATTTGGCAATTGCTAGGCATGCTCAGAGGACCAAATGGACCTTGAGGCTTTTATGCAGTTGATTTCATTTTCTGGATGGCTACTATTAGATAAAGGTAGCTTCTCAGGCGCTGCTGCAAATGAAGTCTGGCAAATCCAACCTCCCCCACTTGGGGCCAAACACACTCTGCTGGCTGCTGTCACCCCCTCCAGGATGATGGGATCCTCCTGGGTACTCAGGGAGACCCCAAAACCCACAGGGGACATGCTGTGCCAGCCCTGTCCTCTCCTGGGACCCCTCAGCGTGGCATCCTCACCCTGGGAAGTGCCAGAAGCTCTCTCTGACCCAGCCTGGGCATGGATTGTGCTCAGAGCCCTTCCCCAGCCAGCCCTGGCTCTGTCCCTGGCATTGTCCCCACCTGCTCCAGACACAGCTCACCCTGGACCACAATTTCCATCCTGTTCGCTCAGACAAAGAGGGCACCAGCAGACAGAAATGAGCCCAGACGTGGAAAAGGCTGAGCCTGCCTCTGCCAAATGCCCTGGATTTGTAGCTGTGATGAGACAGAGAGGTGCCACTGCTGTCTGATTCTGGAATGGGCCTTTGGCTGGGGAACAGGGCAGAGCAGAGCTGGGAGCTGTCTCCTCCCATTTTCTGTGTGTAACAGCTCCATTACAGCCTGGATCCCGCTCGGAGAACGATGCTGGCTGTGCCTGGGGCTGCCAGGATTCATAATAATTAACCATTAATGCTGGCAAACACTTGGCAAATCTCCCCCTGCTCTCAGAGC